GGAGTTTACACATACGCGAATGGGGACAGGTATGACGGCGAATGGCTAGATAGCAAAATGCACGGTCGAGGAGTTTACACATACGCGAAAGGGGACAGGTATGACGGCGAATGGCAAGATGACAAAAAGCACGGTCGAGGAGTTTACACATACGCGAATGGGAACAGGTATGACGGCGAATGGCAAGATGGCAAAATGCACGGTCGAGGAGTTTGCACATGCGGGAATGGGGACAGGTATGACGTGAAGTACACTAATGGTGAACAAATTTCGAAGAAGTGTCGCACCGCTTACTGATTGTGACGTCTTGTCTAATGCATACTCCTCTCTGAAAAGGCAGTTATTAAACAACATTCAAATTCGTTAAACACGTCGTGGTCCGATGATGAACAACTACTACAAAGCGTGTTGAAATTTGAGATGGAACATGGTATGTCTGAATCAATTTCGATACCCGTGGAATGTACGGACGATGAACTGCTTACCTGTACTGATCTTATTGAAAAGTTTGAGAAGGCCAACGTATCGGTCGATGAAATGAAATCGGTTACAGTGTACCCGAGGGCAGATGATACTGATTAAATTAAAGTACATCACTTTTAATTAAGCTATGCTTTCAGGAAGAGGTGAGAAAAGAAAACAATTCACGAGCCGCTATGAACAGTGCCATAAAAGACAATTGATAAGGTAGTGTCCCCTGAACAGATATAGTGTTATGAAAGACAATGTCTGCTTCAGGTATGTGGTGTGGATAGACATGTTCACCTCATTGATCCTGCTTCGTGCCATATATCGACCATTTCTCTACATACCTTTAGATTTTTGGTAAAATGGATTTGGCAGATACGACATCAGATAAGATACTTTGTGAATCACATTGGAATCGGTTTGCCACATTTTTACGGCGCAACAACGAGAATCAAGAGACATATGCAACCTGCCTATATCTTCTAAATAGTTCCGCGGCCGGTGCTCTACAAGCTGACGATGATAACGAACGTTCGTAATTTGAATATTTAATGTATCATTTTTTATTTGAAATAAACGTATACAAAACACGTTAGCCGCACAAAAGATAAACAAAACACATTATCCAGAAAAAGTAACAAAAAACAATCTCACAGGATATTTTGGGGTTTCTGAAAACTGTTTTTCCAGAAGACTGATAGTCACTGATGACTCACATGTAGTTTATTATTGCTTTGTTTTCCATCGGAAATCATACCCATAGGAACAGCAAAAACTAATCTCAACAGTCTTTCTAGCTGACACAACCTCTTCTCCTTCTACTTCTATATAATACTGG